TGTCGTCTCTGGGCTTGACTGGGCTCCTGGTGATATGTGCGCCTGCATCTCAAAGCCCTGACTTCATTCCCGTGATCCTGGGAATGGCTTTGCTGTCTCCACACCCGGCCTCACCACCAGAATGATACAGGCCCTCATTCTTGGCATGCTGATATGGTTTGAGTTGTGGTCTGTCCCTACTGAAATTTATGTTCAAAATCGGTTGCCACTGTGAAACCTTTGAGACATGAGACTTTTCCAAGGCAATTTATGTTGGTGGGAAGGGTTAATGCCTTTCTTGGGGGAGTGGACTGTAGAGAATGGTTCTAGAGAATGAATTGTTGTAGAGTGGGACCTGTCCCTGTATCTCCACCTCTTTGGGCTTTCCCACCATAAGACGAAGCAGAATGAAGGCCTAACTTCTTAAGCCTCTATTCTTCCTGATCATTCTATGCATGTATTGCAACATGACAAAAGAGAACAGACTAATATGAGCAGGTAGTAATGAATTAACCAGAACCTTGTAGAATAATAGACGGAGTTTATTTGGGGAAAGAACTCACACAGAAAACAAGTGACTGACTATCACAGTGTTCCTGCTCCAGGGATGCAGACACTGCCCCTCAGATGCTCTTTGTGACCCGAAGGGGCTTTCCACCCTTTAACAGGTCACATCAGCACCTGTAGCCACGCCCAAAAGGCATGGTCACCGCTACAGGTGAGAGGCGAATATTACAAATATACAAAGATACACTCTCAGCTCTACCCCCTAGCCAGTCACGTCTGTGACCAGCAATGCAGAAACTTGCTGATTGTCCGCTGGTTGAGTGCCAGGCGCCGAGCACTGAGCTAAACACACACTGTTACACCCCAGGGACAGATGGGATAACTGCAGCTCGGACTTGGGAAAGAGTCCGAGGTGGCCCTCTACTGAGTAGGGCTCACTCTCTGTGAGTCTCCAGTTAGTTCTGAAAGGGAGATCCCTGAGCCTCTTTGTCGTCCTTGTCACTTCTCAGCACAAGGCCAGGCCGGCAGTGATATTGTCTAGACATATGTTTCCTTGTAGCTGGCCCCAGCTCCCCTCTCCATTGAAAAAAACAACAACCAAAAGATAAGATTCCAGGCCCCCTTGTCTCTCCCATTCAAGAAAGCCATTGTGCTTTCTGCCCTTCGTTTCTAAGTGGACCAAGGTCAGGGACCAAGAACAGTTTGAGAAAAAGTGTCAAAATGGAAGCAAAGACCGTCCTTTGCTTTCCTTGGCTACTGTCTGTCTTTGTGGCTTAAAAACCAAGTTCCTTGGCCACTGATACAACTGTAGGTACGCAGCACTAACGCATCCATCTTTTTTGTATCATCAGTTCTCACGGGCAGATGAGCTGCCCGAACAGCTGTGCAGTAATTAACTGGGCTTCTTGTGAGAAAATATTTTCCCAGTTTGGGATGGATTCTTGGATCTTGGCAAATAGGTTGTCCGTGTTGCAGCTTGCTTGTGGATCCCTGCCCGGCTGCTCGCAGAGCGCTGCTGCAGCCAACTCTAGTAGGCCTGGGCAGTGGGGGGGAGGGGGTGTGGAAAAGGGTGGGTAAGTTAAATACCATCTATAGTTGCCTGCCTGCCAAAGCCAGATGCGAGGGGATTATGGGTGTAATTCTCCCTCGTCTTGGATTACTCACAACGCCCCTTCTTTGTTCTCTTCACTCCGATAATCAAAAGCTGGGGGGGAGATAATTGCAGGACTCCTAAAATCTTCTCACGGAATCTGAAACGCTTACAGACCCTTCTCTCATTCTCCCTCCCCTCCCCTCATCAGAGTTTTGCCTTCGCCGCCTTTGAACATTGCCTGTTTTCTGATTTAAAGTGTCTTTGTAACAAAAGGCATGGCGTCGTCTATATATGAGTGAAAGTCCGGCAACCGCAGTGAACTTTATGTCTGGTTGGGTGGTTATGAGAACATGTGAGGTAATCAGATGGGTTAGCACTGAACTCGGGAACAATACAGGACAGACACATATTACCCGCCAGAGCCGTTCCCCAAATTGAAGACTTTCTGTCTGCTCTGAATTGATTCAGTCCAGCTGCTGCATCCTGTAATCATGACCTAGGTTTTCGCTGTGGTCACAGCTAATGGCAGTTGGGATGAGTGTTCCCCTGCCTTGTGCCAGATGACACACCTCAAAGTAACATGACTGTACCTTTCTAGTAAAGGCTGGTGACAGGGGCCGGGGGTTGGGGGGGGGATAGGGAGGTAAGCTGGGGTCTGCCAGACCTTGATCAAAAGATGAGGGCTTCCTTGGCCTTTATTTAGAGCCTCAACAACAGGTGATCAGATCCCTTCACTCATCCTCCAGGTTGTCTCAAGTGTAGAGAGCCAAAGTCCAAGTTCCCAAGCCCCTGGAACCAAGTAGATACTGGAGTAAAGCCCACCCTTTCCTCTGGGTCCTCTGTCCCAGCTGTTTAGGTGCTGGAGTGAAGCCTATCCGCTCTCTCTCCTCCTCTCACCCTGTTTTAGCTGTGTAGATTGGGGGGGGGGGATGTTTCTCTTCCAGCTACAGCTTTGTGTTTTGTTTCTCTTTTCTCTCACTAGAAGTTCCCTTTAAATGCGGCTTGTGCAAGACCGACACAGTGCCAGACAAGACTCCCACTATGCGTGGAGTGCACAGTCCACTGCCTGCAAGTCCTTGGGAGTCAGAGGTCACAGGCCAGGTCTGACCTGGAGTCAGAATTCCCAGGGCCCAGCCTGGCAAAGTAAAATGAATAGGTTAGTGAGTGAACAGAGACCAGCTATCCTGTGGCTCTGTGACCCCCTAGTGCAGGCTCCACCCCAAGCTCAGACCCCTTTAATGGCTCCCTCTGACCTCCCAGAAAAAAAAAAAAAATTCCAATGACAATCCTTGATTTGGCAGTGTGGGAGAGCCTTTCCTGGGTCTCCCTCATGGCATCCTGGTAGTCTCCTGAACAAACACTATTCTGAAGATGGAGGTTTCTGTCCCGCCAGGTCCTGTCACTCTTCAGCCCCAAATAAGCACACAGAGACATATTAATTAATAAAACTGTTGGCTAATGACTAGGGCTTCTTATTCGCTATCTCTGTCTTAATTATTAACCCATAACTACTAATCTGTGTATTTCTACATGGCCTTGTCTTACCAGAGAACGCCTGGCACTTCCTATCCTCCTGGTCGTTCTCTACATGGCATCTCCTCCAGGCCTCTCTCTCCTCTCTCCCAGCATTCTCCTTGTCTCCTAGCCCTGCCTGTCTTCCTGCCTCTACTGGCCAGTGTTTTACTCATCAACCAATAAGAGAAACATATACAGAAGAGCATACCCATCTCTAGTCTCTCTCCATTGAAGACAGCCCCCCTTTCCCCACCCTCCCCAACCCCGCATACAGAAACCCAGCATATCGCCAGAGTCAGCCCCACGGAAACTTCCTTCTCCATAACCACTGGGTGCCAAGCTCCTCCACCCACCCCCTGGACACCTGTGCACAGGTTCGAGAAGGAACACGGTAGAATATAGGGTATGGATCTGGGATCCAAAGCCCAACGTCACGTATTGTTGTTTGTAACCTGGGCAAAGAAGCTGGCCCTTCCTGTGTTTCTGATGCTCACCTTCGAACATGGGAGTGATTATTTCTGTCTTTCAGGGTCCCTGTGTGACACAGGCATATATTCATAGACATGTTTTGAGAATGTGTGGTGGACCTTAAACTCTGTGACACCCCTGTTGGTCTCACTCCTCAGCTTCAGACAGTTCTTTACAGAGAGGCCCAAAGTGAGCTCCCTGTAATTGTTGTCTGGAGACCCAATTCCCCAGGACAGGCCCAGGCACACTCCCCTTGCAGGGTTTAGAGATACCCTACTCTGTAGTCCACACACTGCCCTAGGAGAAGCCCTTCTTCCCATCTGTGGGGGGCACAGCCTGGGTAGGAGCCACAGCCTTAAAGCCTCGGGGATCCAGTCGGTCACACTTGCAGTCCAGCTACCACAGGCTGATCTGAAAAGGCTCCTTTAGCCCCAGAGTCCTAACCCCATCCCACTCCACCCTGAGTCTATCAGGCAGCCATGGCAAAAGACCAGACTGTGTATTGTTCCCTAACCACAGAAAAGTCTTTCTCGTAGTGCTGGAGGCTGGAAGTCTGAATACAGGATGCCAGAGCAATAATACTCTGGGGAGGGCTCTCAAAAACCCACCAATGGCTGTGTTGTCCCATGGAGGAAGAGAGATGGAGACAGGCAGTGAGTGGAGGAGCTCTTTGGTATCTTTGTAAATGAAAACACTAGTCCTGGGCTGCTAACATAAAGTGTCTGCCAAAGCAAGCCT